TTGAAGGTTTCACTAATAAAGCTGGATGGTGGAAGGTTATTTGATTTTTGGTCTTTGCAGGGAATAAAAAGCTAATGGAAAAGCCATCTTTTGGGAATTGGATGTTTTCTTCTTGGCCAAATCATAATTCTTGAAACATCATGAGAACAAGCTGGTTTTTCATAGAATTCTACAATGATAGAATAGTCTGGGTGAGAAGGGACCTCTTAAAGGTCATCCAGTCCAGTCCTGCCATAAGCAGGGATATCTCAGGTTACTCAGAGCCCTGTCCAGCCTGAACCTGAATGTTCCCAGGGATGGGGCATCCATGACCACTCTGGGCAACCTGCTCCAGTGTTTTACCACTCTCATTGTAAAAAACCTTTCTTTCTTATACCTAGTCCAAATTTAGTCTCCTTCAGTTTAAAACCATTACCCCTTGTCCTATCCCAACAGGCTCTGCTAACAGGCCCCCTTCAAGTACTGAAAGGCCAAAGTAAGGTTTCCCCAGAGACTTCTCTTCTCCAGGCTGAACAATCTCGATTTTTTTTCAGCCATTTCTCATTTCAGGGCCCTTTTCTGGATTAGCTCCAACAGGTCCATGTCCTTCCTGTGCTGGGAACCCAGAGCTGGATGCAGAGTTCTGGGTGGAGTCTCACCAGAGCAGAGCAGAGGGGCAGAATTCCCTCCCTTGCCCTGCTGGCCAATCTGCTTTGGATGCAGCCCAGGACACTTTTGGCTTTCTGGGCTGCAGGTGCTGCCAGCTCATGTCCAGCCCTTCATCCACCAACACCCCCTGGTCCTTCTCAGCAGGGCTGCTCTTGCTCTGTTCGTCCCCCAGCCTGGATTGATACCAGGTGTTGCCCCAACCCAGGTGGAAGAGCTGTACCCCACAAAAGAATATTGCTGAGTATTTTATTTCACAGATTTAAGGATTTTAGGATAAACTTTTAAGGGGTCTGGAAGCACACTGCAAGCAGAATGTAATTTATTATTTATTAAGAGTTGAAACTCTTGGGTATTCATTAGGAGAGAGGAGTTGTACAGATTGCTCAGATATTCTCTCTATGGTGTTAGAAGTGAAGATATGACAGACTCCAGCTATCAAAAGAGAAACACTAAACTTGCAGTCTATAAGATAAGTCTATAGAATAGGTTTGTAAACATAAATAGGCCATTTAAGAAGTAAAATGTATACCTGAAGCACTGCTATTTGTATAAGTCTGCCTAGTAATCCAATTGATTTAGACATAAAAGTCTTTGAAACTCTGTTTTTAAATTAGCAGTTCATGTCAAAACTAACAGAATTTCTTTAGCAAATCCTAGGTACTTCAGCCCTTGCTGGATGTATGAATTCCAGTGAGGAACAAGAGGATTACTTGCTTTAGTTTCATAACCGGGGATTACTGTGGGGGAAGGGAAAGGGGAAAGGAGAAAAGAAAAGAAGGGCATTTTCCTGGATTAAACTGTGATGAAAAAACCTGGCTTGACTCACTTTCCAGGGACAAAAAATGACTATGATTTCAGACAGCAATGTCTCTTTCATGTTCTTTTTTCTACCTTTTTGTTAAATAAAGGGAAGTGAAGAGCTGTTTATGTTTTTCCTCCCCCTTCTGTCTCCTCAGGGCTTTTCTTCCAGCACACAGTTCGTTATCAGGTTTCAGAGTGTGCTTTGCAGCACTGAGTAAAGCACTGGATAAAAATACCAAACATTTGATATCTTAGAACAACAAATCAGTTAGGAAGGAGCTTTTCTGCTGCTGTTGCTTCCCTCCCTGTTGTACTTAAGGATGTACTGCCAAAATAAAAGCAAAGAATACAGTTTGTTAGTGGTTATTTACATACAAACAGATGAGTTACCAGTAACAATTATTTTCACAGTCTTTAATATGTAAGGGAAACAAAAGTTCTCACCCCAAAATGTGGGGTAATTCAGCTGATTCAAAGACAAGGACAAAAAAGGTGCAGATTTTTGTTCAAAACACAAATTTATAAAACTAATATTGAGAACACAACGTAAACAAAATGTGCATGCTTTTTTCTTGTAGTGTCTTGAAAACAGCAAGGCCAGAAAGTTTGGGTTGATGCTGCCTTGAGTTTGTGGTGCCTAACAGACCAGTAGTATTTTGTAGTCTAATGAAAAAGTATAATATCTCTGGAAATGTTCCTGCTGGATAGTGAGGAATATCCAAATATTTTTTCAGTGTGTTCTGGTTTGTTGTGAGCCTCTGTGACCTAACAATATCAGTGTGGAGTCAATAATACAGGAGAACCTTAACTCTATGCAGAATCTGATGTCTGCAGAGGCTTGTTATTTATTAGTCTGTTTTCATCAGGGCTAGTCCACTGTAACTATGGTCCACTTTAGGAGCCACTCAAAGCATTTGCTTCTAGTTTATAAATACCTAACAACAAAAATATGGTGGGTGGATGCATCTGGTAAATGAAGCACAAGAAACCAGTGCTGAAGTGTTGGTCTGCAGGCTAGGAAATACTGTAAATCAGTAATCTAACCTTTCTTTTTGCAATTTTCTCTGTGAAAGGGAGCATTAAGGAGAGGCCTGTAAGAGTATGAGACAGTTTTCTGGAGAGGCTCCTCAATGCACAACAGGCAGCAAAAGAAACAGTGCCCTACTTTTCCTTTCCCTTGGCTTGCAGTAAAACCCACATATGAAACTAAACCAAGTACTGCTCGTGTTTGAAAATGGGAGGTGCTGCAGTAAGCAAAGCAGAACCACGCTGTGACCACAACATGGATAACTGAGAGCCTAAATATAAATACAAAGAACATGTGAGGAAACCATGCCAGGGCTGCTTACAGTGACAGGATAGGAATATGATCCCTGCCCAGACACTGCAAATGGATATCAGTAGGAGGAAATTACCCTGACAAGATAAGAGGAAGAGGGGTTTTGTAATCCTAACATGAAATGAGAATCTAGAGGTGGATGGTCAGGAAAGGCTGAATGATACAGATGGTTTTTTCTGAGCATCCTTAATAATTAAACACAGCCAGGACATGAGGATACAGACTAAAGACCACATCCAAGGTTACAGCTAAGTTACTGGCCTAAATGCTATGTAATGTTAGGATTTTGTTCCCTGTCATGGCTTAACCCCAGCCAGTAATTTAAATACCACACAGACACTTGCTCACTCCCACTTCCCACTCCCAGGCCCCCCAAAGGTGGGATGGGGAGGAGAAGCAGAAAAAAAGGTAAAACTTTTTCTGTTTATCTTGACAGGGTAATATCCTCCTGCTGATATCCAAGAGGTTGAGATAATAACAGTTTATTAACTGAAATAAAGTAAAATATAATAATAATTTTATTGGAAATGAAAAAAAGAGAGGCATATTAGCCAAGAAAAACAAATTATTCACAATACAGTTTCTCCCAGCTTCTTGTGCACCTCCTCACTGGCAGAGCATGAGAAACTGAAAAGTCCTTGACGTAGGATGAACTCTACTTATCAGAAACTAAAACATCAGTGTGTTACCAACATTATTCTCATGCTAAATCAAAACACGACATTGTACCAGCTACTAGGAAGAAAGTTAACTCTATCCTAACCAAAACCAGACATTTCTACAAGTCAAAGTGTAGAGTGGATAAATGAATCTGCATTGAAGAAGGTGATTGAATTATTCCTCACAAATACGTTTACAAAAAAATATGAGGTTTTGGGACTCCTCAAAAGGACATCCTCCAAGAAGAAAGCGGAGGTTTCCCCAGAAAGGAGTGTCAGGGAAGCCAGGAAGAGGATAAGCTAACACAAAGTGCAACATCAGGGTGTTGGTTTCTAGATTCAGTCATGGAGAAACTGAAGTGTCCCTGCTGGTTCTCCTGCAGAGCTGCTTGGCAGGACCTGCTAAGTCAGGAGAATGAGTTCTGCTGATATTTTTCAGCAGGGGACTGGGGCAGGGCAAGCACAACGCTTGCAGTCAGTGTGCAGGCTTGTTCTGAAACGCATCTGCATGCTTGTGGTGCCAGTGTTACCTCTGGTACAGTTAAAAAGAGAGTACTGGGAGAGAGGTGTAAACTAAAGCTTAGAGTGACTTGCAGTTAATGTGTGGTGAAAAGCACTTCAGCTTTTCAGCAGAGGAATCAAGGGGTTACAAAGAAAAGAAAAAGTAGCAAAGAGCCTGGCCTTACTCTCAGAGTCAAGCAAGATGAGTCACTATCCCTGGAGGTATTTAAAAGTCTGTAAGGACACGGCTCAGTGGTGGATTTGGCGGTGTTAGGTTAACAGTTGGACTCAGTGATCTGAAGGGTCTTTTCCAACCTAAATGTTTCTATGATTCTGTGAAGGTAATCGACTTTTACTTTTTTCTTCTGAGTGAGAGAGGGAGAGCTGTGGTTCTTTAGTGGAGATGTTTTGCTTGGCATTTGGCTTGTCCTGTGAGCGGCTCCGCTGTGTTTTAGTTTGGGAGCAGTCGACTATGATAGAAACTGTACTAACCCACACAGAGGGAGGGAGTGCAGGTCAGCAGCAGTGAGCTCCTGGGCTGACACTGAAGGCAATCTGCTGGACAACCCTGGGAGCCAGGAGTAGCACAGTTTGTCTTGAAGTCCCTGCAGCATGACCTCATAGAATGTTTTCACAAAGGCCCACACTCAGGGTGAGGGTTTCAGAAATTCATCCTGATTTCTAGAGTTTTGAATTTTCCACTTTTTTGCAATGCATTTGTTTTCCTTAAGCACATAACATAGTACATTTCACAGTTCCTGCTGTCAGAGAGGGAAAACACCAAATCCTGCCTATTGTGAGTAAGCCAAGAGGGTAACCATGGGAGCAGTGTTCTGCTCATCACTTGATCCTAAAAACCTCTACTGAGAAAGAATATAATCCAGGTTGCCTTGCAGTGTTTGAGGAGCTGAAATAGGACATCAGTGTGGTCGTGTTTTGCTTGTCTTAACCAAAAGAAATTAGTATGAGTGAGCAAACCACATGTGTTGTAGATATAGTTGTACTTGGTTAATTTTCCTGTAATTTACTGTGGCTTTGTATGCCCTTCACAGGCATGAATAACCGGGAAGTCTTGGAGCAAGTAGAACGAGGTTATCGGATGCCGTGTCCTCAGGACTGTCCCATCTCCTTGCATGAGCTTATGATTCACTGCTGGAAAAAAGACCCAGAGGAGCGTCCAACTTTTGAATATTTACAGGGTTTTCTTGAAGACTACTTCACTGCAACAGAACCCCAGTACCAGCCTGGTGACAACCTGTAAATCCTTGGTTTCCAGACACTGTCATGAATTACCAGGAATTTCTCAGCCCTGTCCCACCTGCTCTCCACCTTCCAACTCTGTGATCGGCTTCTCCAGAGTGCAACATCTTCCAGCACTGCAGTGCACAGGAGGGGCTGCAGCTGGGAACTTCCACAGCCCTTGCCTACGACCACTTGTCCTAATAATCTGAATGTCCTGGATGAAAAGGAGAAAAACACTTGTTTTTTCTTAATCAAAGACTCCAAAACTGCATTGTATTGATGTTATGTAAACTGCAAAACCTCTGTTCATTGTAAATAGTAACTCAGTGCCAATAACTGATCCTAGTGCTTTCCTTTTTTTAAAATGCAAAACCTATGTGATTTTAACTAGTCTTCTCCTGATTCAACTAAAAGTATTATTTTCCAGAAGTGGCCTCTTTGTCTAAAACTTTTTTTTTTCATGTTTTAACAAATAAAAAAAATCAGGACAGGTGTTTGGGTTTTTGCTTTTTTATATATAAAATATATATAATATATATACATACCTGTACATACAGTATATGGGTGCTATTGCAGAGGAGGCTCATTTGGAATTGAATGACTCCTGCTGCAGCTGTACCCAGAAAGCGATAATTTTACTGCAGACATGAAAACACTGGTGGGATTCTGAAAGCCAGTGATCTAATTTTTGGCTTTTGCCAAGCATGATTTTTTTAAATTGGATTGCACTTTTTGTTTATGATTATGTACCTGTAGATGGTTGTAACTTTGCTCTTTCAGGAATCACGTGCTGTATTTACAGTAATGTTTCCAATGTTTGACAAGTGTGTGATGATTTGTTCTTGAAATTAAAACAAACATATTTAAAGCAAGAAAACTACACCATCACCGTTTGAACTGGAAAATTGAAACTGCAAGGACTTCTTGTATCAAAACATGTATACTGAATTGTTTCAAAAAAATTTATTAAGCAGTGTAACCACATTCAGATGGTCTTAAAATAATAGCATTTTAGCCATGTCCCCCTGCTAAACTGTTGGTCATGCAACTAGGATTTTTCTGTTTTATGTGTAACATTTTTCCATTGTAAAATAAGTGTGTTGAGTGTCCTGTACTGCTAATGAAATTACTTTCTCTGTGTCTGCAAGTTCTCCAGTGGAATTACTATGCACTTCTTTACATTTCATGGGGGATGCACAGAACAAAGTATTACCTTTTCAGTTGTCTGTACCAGCCTTGAATTACTTACGTTTAACCAAAAAACACAAAAAAAAATTCCTTTCTATTTCTATTGAGTTTTTAATACTGAGTTGCAAATTTTAAAGTCTTAATTACATTTTGTTATGGTTTATTCACAAGTTTACATTTTAAAACTGTTTAACTTTCTTAATTTAGTAATTAAAAAACAAAAGAGCATTTTACATTTGGATAGTTGTTTTTTTGTTTAAACTGTGGAACTAATGGTGGACATGAGATTAAAAACTTTTCAAGAAGGAGTGTCATGCCATTTGGGGCATCACATTTCATAGGAGTTCGCAGACCAATTACCTATGGGACATCATTTTCCAAATTATGAAGTCAATATGTTTTGAAATAGCTGGAGTTCAACTGTAAGGAAGATGGCTGAATGCATAGCTAGTCTCTCCTTTCTCTCTTCTACAGCAGTTTGTTCTTTATTAGTTCTGTTGCATTTAACATGAATACTTTTACATTTACAAGTGTTGCAGGAAAAGCTTTTCTATGTCTTGTATTGCTGTTACTGCTTTAAAAGATTGTGGCCAACCAAGACTTCCTGACAGTTGAAACTTTTTTTTTTTTAATTATTTAGTACTTAGATTGTGAATTCATACTCTGAAGATTCACACATTTTCTAAGGAGAGCCTTTCTTCATTTGTGAAAACTAACCCAATAATCAATTGAGATTCAGAGAACAAATTGTCATCGTTTTAATATTTTCTATACAAAACTGACTGAAAATCCTCTTGCAAAGGAGGCTTCCACACTTAGCCTTTCTCAAAGTGTGAATTTATACGGCAATGTTGCTTGTTACCAGATTTCCATGATAAATTGGTTAACGTTTTACATGTAGAGTCTATAAGTAATGTTATGTACATTATCTACTCAACGTTGCTGTACCTGTAGCTGTGGAGTACTGAAGAGGCCATGATCCTTGTTGGACTTCTAGCTTCCTCTTAGTACTTACAAAGCAAATCGTGGCCCTCTTTTTTTCCCACAGCTACCCCCCTGCCTTAAAATACCATCCATGGAACTGAGGACTCCATAGTAACTCAGCAGGCTGGCGAAGCCAAAATGTCACCTCCTCAGCCCAGAGCCCGGTGGCGAAGCGTGGCCGCGCTGCCAAGTTCCTTAGCAGCCTTTGCCATGCCACAAACTTAAGTGCAGTTTCCATCTGCAATGCGGGACAAGCCTAAAACGTTAGTTTGCCTATGTTTCTCATTGGAAGTAAGACTCAGATGGGGCGTTGTTGGGGTTTTATGGCCTTTATTTCTGATTCTTGAGTTTGCTGTTTCTTGTATTGCATTCGGTCTCGGAGTACCACGTTGGTCTCTGCCGGATCTCTGCCTGCAGCTGGCTTGTGTGCAGACTGGTGCCACTGTTGAGTGGCAAATCCAGACCATCTCTCATCGGTAGCTCTTCTGCTTCTTTTTCTTAATGTTGGGAGTTTTGTTGTTTGGGTTTTTTAATCTCTCAAATAAAAACATTAGCAAAAAATTTAAACAAGGTTGTTAGGTTTTTTTGCTATAAATTAATAAAAGCCTTTTCTTAAGCACTGCATATACACCACAAGTAGTTGTGTGGTGACTCTAAAAGTAGAATTTGTGAGATTAGGAATCTTCTGTTCCTTCCAATAATTTTTAAATGTAAGACTAAATAAATTCCACCCAGGTAAAAACAATTGGCCAAATGCTCCCCTCACCAGCCCACCTGATTCCTAACTGATCCACGGTGTGGTGGCTGATTTCCAGAAGAGGTCTTCTAGGAGATCTACCAGCAGCAGAAAGGACTCTGTGGGGAGACACAGGCTTCTCTAAGCCAAGTTTAATCCAAGACCTGTCTCAGGAAAAGTGACAGGTGGAAATGAGACACTGCTGCCAAAGGGATGGTTAGTATGGTTATTATATTTCTGTGAGAAATTATGTGAGACTTGGTGGTCTTTGAAAAAGACAAAAGCCACTAACATGATACTCTTTGGCTTTTGTAAACAGTGCTCAGTGTAGTTCTGGGTGACACTCTGGTTTTGATTTAATTACCACTGTAGAAAAACAAAGTAAATACAAAACAGAAGAGTGATTAGCTGCTAAAATTACAAGAATAATCACAAATGGAAAATCTGTCTCCAGTGTGAGTGTTTCTCCTGAAGCCTCTAGACTGGAAAGGACTACCTGCAGCCCAAGAAGGCAGATTCCTAAATATCTCAATCTTGCCACATAACTTCAAGGTGAGTGAGGAAAGTTGCTCCAGTTTATGCTAACATGCACCATCCTTTTCTCAAGTGCTGCAACAAAAAATGCAGCGTGCTAATGAACGCTACCATATTGCACCCAAGGGGTTTAAGGGCTTCACACGAGGCTGAGCCCAAGCATGCAAGAGCTATTAGGAGATATACAGTAGCTCCTCTTCTCAAGTGTAGACAATATTCATTCATCAAAGGAGCCCTTTCCTGTCTAATGGGAAATTACCACCAGCAGTACAGACAAAAGGATATTTATTTTCTCCAGTTGTGTCAGTTTGAGGGTCTGTCTGTCTTTCAAGAATAATTGAAGTCTGTTTGTAGCTCAGAAATCTCATTGTGTTCTGCAGTCTTGGAAAGCAGTGATTATAATTTCCTGTGACTCATACACAGGGATATTTTATCACTGAGGGGACTCCTGTCAACTGGAGCAGCATTCCCTGCTGTCTTAACTGAAAAAAGGGGCACTTTAGTTTCAGATTTTCCTGCACAGACCAAACCAGAACGCGTGTGCTTTCTGCAGGAAAGGAAAAGAGGCCCCTTGCTGGGATTGCCACATGAGTAGGGTGCTAGTGTCTCCCTTTCAGTCCTTCTAAATTCCTCAGAACTTGTGACAGCTAAAACCAGCCTGCTGAGGTCCATTTTGAATGTTTGAGAGGAAATGCTGGCTTCCCTTAAGTCCGTGAGATATTTTCTGTTGACATTTAATACAGAGCCTGTTCTTATGTGTGTGTGTACAGTTATCTGTAACTCAAAAGGAAATTCACACATAAAAACATCTACACAAACATCAATCTATCTCCTTGTATTCCTCCCCTGCAGCTGAAAGCTTAACAAAAATGTAAAACTGGGACATGAGTAGATTAGAGGACAAAATGTTGTTAACAACAAAAGAGCTGCTCTTTTTTTCTTCTTGTTTTCCCTTTTTTTTTTTTTTTTTTTTCTGCTGGTTCCCACTACGTGATCTGTTACAATCCCTATTCCCAAACCAGGAGAGGCGGTAGCAGCAAGCACTGTGCTACAGCCCAGAGATGCTGTGGGCCTCTGGCTCCTGCAAAGATCAGCCTGCAGCTATCCTAAAGTCAGGGAGAGAAAACATTTCTCCCAAGGGCACGGCTGCAGTTTGGAGCCTGCGGTGGGATGTGCAGGAGTGCAGGGAGAACTGCCCTCCCAGGAAAAGCAGGTCATTGCTGGTAGGCACTGCATGGTGTGCTGGAGAGGCAGAGCCAAAGGCTGCAGCAGCAGCTGTGTTTGCAGCACCAGCTGTGCTCACAGCGCCTGTGCTTCCTTGTGCCCAGGGATTTGGGTGATGAGATTAGAGCAGGCTGAGGAGCGTGAACTGCGGTTTCTGCTTCCAAATGTAAATATCTTCTCTGTTACAGCATAGAGGAAAATACTGTATGTTCAAGATGGGGGAAAAAAACCACAGGATTGGTGTGGCCTGTGACTGCAAGGCAAGTGTTGGTTCTGCCTGACCAGGCCAGATGGAAGTTTGATTGTTCGGCTCATTATTGGGAATAACTCGGCATTAAGCTCTGTGAATAGCTAAAAGGGCAAAGAGTAAAGAAATGAGATTATCCTTCTTCCCCTACAGCCAGGCTAGAGCTTGCCAAGGGCTCTGGTTTGCTTTTTTGTGCATCAGCATTTGTTGCTGAGCTGCACCCAGAGCCTTGCTCAGCTACCTATTGTAACAGCTTCACACAAAATTCCTGAGCCCTGGAATGGAATGGATGAATTCTAATCTGGAAAAAGAAAAAAGAATGCAGGGCTGTTTTGTGGCTGTTGGGGCTCAGCCTCATGCCAGAGGCTTGTCTGTGAGCCCTGGCATTCCCTGTGCTTTATTCACTGCTGCAGTTCAGGCTCTGGGCTGCCTCTAAGTCCCACAGGCTGCTGGAATTCCCCAGCTAGAAAATGCTACTCATGTAGGAAGGGTTCCTGGTGTTGTGAAAGGGCTCAGCACACCACTCCTGCTACCACGCAGGGCCTGGGCCATCACTGTTCCTGGGACACACTTCCCAGGAGGGAGTGGCAGTGCAGGAGGAGCCTGCAGCTTCCCTGGAGCCCCTTGGACACCCAGGGCTGCCACGCTTTGTTGGCAGCAGCTCAGGCACAACTGTGTAGAGCTGCTGACGGGTCTTGGGGTGACTTGGCCAGGGCTGTGTTGCTACAGCCCATAGTCCCAGTGACAGTGGAGAACCAGATGCTAAATCCTACCCTCCTAAAAAAGCAAAGGCAACAAGCCACATGAGGAACAGCTTTGTGCCTTAAAGAGAGAGGACTAGGTACGTTTGATCACACGAGAGCTCAAGTGTTCCCTCAAATTCCCATGCCTCCCAAAAGCAGTGCAGCCGCCAGCTGAGCTTTGTCTATGACCTCATATATATCCAGTGTATAAAACACATACCACATATTGAACATTTGCATATGTTACATGTCTTTTGTTCCACTTGGGTGGCCTTTTCCTCCCCTTCCCCCACCTCTTGCACCACTACTCATCCACACAGCTCCCATCACGTTATTCTGGACGTGTCATTTCTGAAGGACTACACATCCCCGTCCTGCAGAGTATGGGGGCTCTGTTAATTGTCAAATGTTGAGTGGGTAATGATCAATGGGTGACTAATTGGACACAAGAGGGAATAAAATAGGTATTACTTAGCTTCTGCTCT